GTTTGGGTTTGTTGCACCTTATCCGATCGGGCCAGAAAACTACTGTGAGAGCTGGAGGATGTGCAGATTATGTGCCTGAGCTTCGGTCATTGACAGCCGCTGTTCTCCCTCACACTTTCCCTTCCAGACAATTACTATTAATACAACTGACCCTGTTAACAAGCTTAAGTAGATTCACAGTCGCACCAAATCGTGCTGCTGATTATAAATTTATACTTTGACTTTTTTTTTTTTTGCCAAAGAGCTAATTAGAATGGGAACAACCAACCCCACCCTGCCTCTGTAATGTCTTTAAATGTGTTAAATGATGGACAAAACTAGATTTGTTCCTAATTCTCAAGGTATACAGGAGAAGGGGAAAACTGAAAAAAGCAACTCAATGCAATGATATTTAATTGATCTCAAAATTAAATTTAATGTTGGAGTCTTAAAGGATTTTTTCCCCCAAAAAGTTGTGGTTGATAGCTGTCAGCAGAGAGGAGCTACTGTATTGGGGGGTCAGCACATTGAACCCCAGCTTCCTCTATCTCAGTCACTAGCCGTGTTCCAAATTGCGCAAATTGTAATTATGAAAACAAATTAGCTAAGAGGAAAAACTGCATATTTTACGCTTTGACGAGGTAGTTTTTCTTGTCATATTGCATTTTTCATATTTTGCAATTTTTTTATTTTCCGCATCAGGAGCTACGCGATCTGCAACTGGACTGGAAGGACGAAGAAGACTGGAAACAGTTGGAGGATGATGGCGCCCATTACAGCCTTGGTTGAAATATGTATATATGTCATGTGTTTACATCTGCTGCTATCATGTGGCAAAGGACCACAGGTTGAATTCGAACCCGGGTCAATTGCGTTGAGGACTAAGGCCTCTGTATATGGGTTGTGCACACTAACCATTGCACCACCTGCATGCCCGGCTGCCTCACTTCTGTCAGTATGCCCCAGAGCAGTGTACCACCATGAATATCTGCATGATTGGGTCAATGACTGGATGGAGTGTATTGCGCTTTGGACTCCTCTGACTTGAAACGGCATCTACCATTTTATGATGAATTCTTCGTTGTAACTCATCAGAGGCTATAGAAGAATTTCTAGAACAGTGCCAACCTTCTTTATCAGCTTGTTGAGTTTTTAAGTCATTTGCTCTGATGCTGTTACCCCAGCAGATGATGGCGGAATAGCTCAGTCTCCACAACAGAGTTATAGAAGGTCTGCAGCATGTCGTTGGAGTCACTGGAAGATTTAAGCTTCCTTAAGAAGTACAGTCTGCTCTGTCCATACTTTTAGACAACTCCAAGGTTTCGTCTCCAGCCAAGTGTGTTGTCCAGGTGAAGACCAAAGTATTTATGCTCCTCCATTTATTCTCCAGCTTATTCCCGTTTCTTGTTCACGTGCAGGATCAGATGATTGTTTCCACATTATGCATCAAATGGGTTCTCACCAGCTCCCTGTGCTCAGCTTCTTGTCCATCTTTAGTGTACCTGATGACTCAGAGTCATAGCGCTTTCTTGGCTGTGAACATACAAATAAAAAAAAAAGTAGAATATTGGTCAAAAATATTTCCCGGCCTACTGTATTTATATCTAATTGCGATTCAGTCTTGCCGGTTGCCTCCTCAATTGACTTTGACAGACGGACAGGTGGAAGAGGGAGGGAGCAGCACCATCTCCCAGTTTGGTTGTACCCAAATACATAGAAACAGGGGAGCACATTGCATTTAAGGTGTGAGATGGAAGATTTTGATCAAAAGAGGGTTTAGTTTGGTCTTGCACACCCTTCCTGAAGGCTCTTTTTTTCTTGTTTAACAGTTCCTGTAGATCACTGGTAATCTTGGGACGATTATTGGTGAAACAGTTCACTGTTCTGGAGGGGATGGTATTATCTACAGAGAAGTTTTATATGGACAGCTACATACATAGTGTGAGTCCTTATGGCTGGAACAGTGCATCCAAGTCTGAAGCCTCAAAATAATCATATTCCGCTTCTTGTGACAAGCTTTTTACAGTTCAATAAAACAGCATTGCAGGAATGAGATGATTAGACTATTTAAAGGACTGTATCCAATCTAACTAATGTGGAAAAAGTTGCACAACAGTAATAGAGTGCACTATAATTTCATTACCTAAAGTCATGCCTCTTTGATGCAGTATTCATGCTAAATAAGTCCCAAGCTCATATTCTTAATGCTCCCCATGGATATCTTTTTCTTTGGCCAAATCTTTCTGTTTTTTATTGGTGTTTTGTAATAAAACTTCCTGGAAACAGAATTTGTGTTTTCATGCACTATAGGACATTTTTTTTAAATGAGAAAAAAAATGCTTGAAATCCATCTGTATTCAATCTGTATGAGATTTACTGTTTGAATTTACTTAGTTAAACACTTTTTGATAATATCTTAATGTTTTACTTACAGCTGTAAAAAAAAAAAGCTAAAGAAATATGGTTTGATATAAAGAAAATTTAGCCGAAAGCTCAAATCTGCACATTTTTACCATGTGTGTTTACATATGCAACCAAGAGGCCATGTGGTTTGCTGGTTGGTGGTAACAGGGTGGAGTAACTGACGTATAATAAATGGCCATGGGGGAGGACAAATTTGTAGAGCAGCGGGTGAGCACACCTCCAATTTTCTATAACAAATAGTTAGAGGCTGTTCACTCATTGTGGTTTCAATAAAAAAAGATCAAACTTTGACAAAGAAACCTCTTTTTTCATTCTTTCTGTCTGCCTTTCACTGTCTTCCCTTTTCCTTTCTCGTCCTTTCTGTGTCCCTCTGTGATCATAAAGTTCAGAAGTTCAAGAAGCTTGCAGTGAAACAGAGAAGTTGACAAGGATTGCCAGGATGGTAATGAAAACCAGCTTCATTCTTTACATACTGTTGCATCTTCTTTGTTAAAGCAGCTATTTTCCTCACAGTTCTTCTGCTGAACTCTAGCAACAGGTTCACTGCATAGATTCTAAGCTTCTCGTGCTCCAATATTATCTAAAGGTACTAAGATAATGAAACTAACAGCATAAAAGCAAGTGATTTGTCATCATAATCTTATTCAAAAAAACCTAATAAAAAAATGTGAGGATTTCTAAGAAATCTATTTTACCAGGCAGAGGTATTTAAAGAGTTCGGGTCAGGTTGCTAAGTTTACTCCACACACCTTATGACTTAAAGCAGGGGTGCTCAAGTCCAGTCTTCATGAGCTACCATCCTGTAACTTTTAGATGCATCTCTTCTCTAGACAACTGCATTAAAAGGCTCATTCCCCTCATTTGGCCCAGCAGAGGCATGGTAATGAGCCACTCATTTGATTCAGGTGTGTTAAAAATGATGGTGCATCAAAAAGTTGCAGGATAGTAGGTCTTGAGAACTGGAATTGAGCACCCCTGACTTAAAGGATTCATCTGAGGAATTGACTTGATTCTGCTGCCCTCTATTGGAAGAAAAATCATATAACAATAAGTAAGTTTGTACAAGCAAATACTACAATGCAGAGATGACAAAAGTATTAATGTTTATTACTCAAGTAGAAGAATAAATCTCACTGTTTAAAAACACTTTTTTTTAGAAGTTAGAGTATCAACTTATCAACAGCTTTTAACTACTAAAAGTACTATTTTTAAAACTACTTAAAGTATAAAAGTAAAAGTAATGAACCCTACCGTATTAAAGGAATATTTTTGTACAGTTCTGGAGAATAATTTCCTTATACTTAATTTTTTTAGTTTTATAACTAATATTTTACTTATGTAGAAGTTAGAGTATCAACTTTTCAACACATGAGGTTAAATGAAACAAAACGTCTATAAAAGTCTATATTTAAAATATAAATAGTAGAAAGTAGAGATAATTGCAAATATATATATATATATATATACTGTATATATATATATATTTCAAGAGTAAAAGTAAAAAGTTGTCTAAAAAGTATTTACTCCAGTAAAGTACAGATACCCAAAATTTCTACATAAGTAAGGTAACAAAGTATTTGTACTTTGTTACTTGACACTTCTGCTTCGGTGTTAATAAAATAATTAATTTATCCCTTTATAGGGCACTCAGTGAAATCCTTTGAAAAATCCCCATTTTCAGCCAATGGTGTTATTGGAATCCAGGACAAGACCTTATTACCTTTGGAACATTTTGATGAAAAAAAAAATTAATGTCAATGTAACAAGAAATGCCAACTTGCCTGATAATATATTCAGACAAATAACAAAAATAAGAGCTTCTATAAGAAATTCATGAAAACACTCTGAGAGTGAAAGAAACACATAGTTTTTTTGCTACAACATAACCTAAGGGGCATTAATGCTGATACTGGCACTTAGATGTTTAGTTTATAAACCTAAATATAATTCTTAACTAGGCTTATTAACTTTTTAACTTATTAACTTTTCAGTTAGCTTTTTACCTTTTTTTTTTTTTTTTTTACTTCTTTATTAGCATGTTACCTTTTTTCCTTGACTTTAAACATTTCAATTAGCTTTGTACCTTTTTTCTTTGACTTTTTAATTAACAATTTTACCTTTTTTTTACTTTTTAGTTAGCTTTTTTACCTTTTTTTCTTGACTTTTACCTTTTTTAACTTTTTCTATTAACTTTTTACCCTTTTTCTTGACTTTTTATCTTTTTAATTAACTTTTTACCTTTTTTTCTTCAACTTAATTTACAGTAGGCAATATATCATTCAAGGGCTCATCTATTTGGTCAAATGCCAAAATAAGATGTAGGCCTACAGCCATGTAGCTGTATCTTTGCTGAACGGCTATATATAGATTTTGTGTTTCTAGATCGCACTGAGGGACGGGGGGGACTCCATTTGTAAGGTGTATGCAAGTGATCTTGCCCTATAAAGGGTTAAAAAGACTCAAAGAAAAAAAACAACAACTTTTACTTGTTTTTACCCTTACAGCACAAACCTATCATGCTTTTCTTAGTGAATCTTTATACAAATTTATTATGAAATGACGCAAAAATTCTGTTCCAGCTGAACTGTTTGCCGCTGTCACCACTGCATGGTCTTTGAGCGCGTCAGCTTCCTGGTCAGAGCATGGCGGACTGTCAGCATGTAGGACCGCCTGTCAGGCAGGGGGCGCTGCTGATCCAACACCAGCCTGTCACACATCAGACAAACCAGAAGAGTGCTTACAATCTGACATAAAATGAAGAAGCAAAAACTAGGTTATAAAGATTCTTAGTTATAGAGGGGGAAAAAAACTAAAAAAAAAAAAAAAAAAAGCTTTAGGGATATATTTTATTTAGGTAATTTAAAGTATTTTCTCAACTGTTCACATGAGGTTCTTTTTCATCTATTTTGATTTTAAGCTGCGTATAAATATCACCCGGATGATTGACAATTAGATGTACCACTTATTTAGATGATCCACCCGGAAATAAAAGTCCTCTCGCTGTAAATCATCCTCTGTAACTTTAAATGCAAATGTTTCTATATTTTGCTATAATTACTGATCTAAGTGGGTCGCTCTGTAAACTAAAGGCATGTTTTACAGTCTCTATACCCCAGTCAACAATTAATTGATTACTAAAATAGTTGAATCCTATTTCAATAATAGATAAATCCGAGTAATTATTTCAGCCCTAGTTTAGATGTTGTTCTTTATTCGTTTGTGACCTCCTGAATACATTGTTGATGCGCTCTTAGAGCAATTTTGGTAAGTCTTGAAAAGGTTCACCACAGTTGCAATTGTTTTGTTTTTTTGTTTTTTCCATTTGGCTCTAACTGAGATTCTCTTCAAATGGATTGATCTTAATGAGCAGATAGAGTTCAGTTAATTTTGTCAATTAATTTACTTTAAATGACAATACCTGTGGAATTATTTAGTTTATTTTTTTTTTTTTTGTTTTAGGGTTTGGTTTGTTAAATTAATCTCAACTCTTCAAAAAATAATGGTGTGGGTTCTTTCACATAGAGACCACTTGGTATAGATAGGTTTATTCTTTTAATAAACTGATTATATGACTAAGGTAAATAAAATAAACAGCTAAAATTAGACAAGTTTTCTTAAGCAAATGTAGCTATTGTTTCAGAATATTCCATATTTTTCAAAGGGACAATAAACATATTACATTATGAATCTTAAATTTTAAGACAGGTTAATTGCAAGCTGGTTTTAATGAAATTGGTCAGAAATAGAAACTAAAATAAAGATTTCTAACCTCAAAACAAAGTTTCTATTGCATCATTACTGGTTAAGTGTCAAAAAGCAGCTTTGTGTAAAAAACAAAAGTGAATAAAAGTGCATAAACAAACCTGATGAGTTGTAAAACTGCCGCCTCCACTGATAACGCTGCATCAGCCACAGACAGTTCTCTGAAACCACATCTACACACGTTTAGGCACAGTAAGACAAGCTGCGGGGCATTTTAAAATGTTTGTATTGGCTAAAAATCATAAGCATACAAAACCCTAAATCTTTAGCGAGTCTCTGTCCCTCCTCTGTGGTCACCTTCCTGCCGATTTCCAGATCTGCCTTGTTGGCTACCAGCACTGTAGGAAAAGCTGACAAGCACAATAAAATTGTAATAAAGCAACAGTAAGCAGTATGATTCCTTGGCATGCAGTCTGCCTACAGAGCACGAGGTGGACGACCAAACAAGGAATCAGTGGGAGCTCCAGCTGCTCATGTGTGAAGGTGACAATAGACAGATGTCAGGCAGGGAGCAGATTCTCACTGGAGGGCAACATGATGAACACAGAGCGGTCAAGAGTTCAGCAGCTAAATAAGGCACATCACCTGTGAGGCTCCACGTAGCACAGATAGAACAACTTTTGATCAAGAGTAATCTTTACCTAGACTTTGTTTAGTTTTGTCAATGAGCGTCTTAAGTCGAGGGATCTCCAGGAAGCTGGAACGCTGAGTGATGGAGTAGAGCAGGAGGAAACCGTCAGCCCAGCGAATGGAGGCCTCAACAGAAGCCACAGAGCTCTGGAGCAGAATAAAACAATTAAACCAATGCTAACTTAGCCCAAATTTAATGGTGCATAATTAACATACCTTAATACAACAGCAATAACTTGTGCGATGTATAATTTGCAATTACTATTTGATACCCCATGCAATAACCTGCTTCTCTACAGTATATTTTGCCCCCAGTGCAATAACTATATACATTTCCATCTATATAAATACCTGTACAATGAACCTAAAAAACTGTCATATGTGGATGCACTGTATATACTGTACATATCCCATGCACCTTTTTCTTCCTTTGGCACCTTCTTCTTCTTCTTTGACTATTTGAGCTGATGTAACGAGAACATTTCTCCACTGTGAGGTCAATAAAGTCAATCAATCAATCAATCTTAAGTCTGTATGCTGGGTTTGAAGTTACCCTAACTTAGTTTAAAGGTTCCCCAAATAGCTCATAACTAGTTTTTTTTTTTTTATTATTTAGATTTTTACCCATTACTCAGTCAATGAGACTTAGAGGCTAATGAAAGCAGGTTTGCTTTTTTTTTTTTTTTAACATAGTTTTAGTTTGATTTTATATAGTACTTCGGTGCATGTTATGCGAGCTAAAATGCTTAAACTCTGTGAAGGCACTTTAGGTTTTTAGATATTATCATTTTAACTACATACAATTGGGTTTAATAAGAGATTCCTTGTATTCTAACTTACTCAAAGGAAATCTTTCTTTTTTTTTCAACTGTGCAACATGAAAGTTCAATTTCTCTTTTCAATAGAGATCTAATTGTTTCTTTGCTGACAAAAACTGAAAACATACCTTACAAGGCAAATCTAAGATCTCCACATCAACAGTTTCCTGGTCCACAGTTCGGCTACATCTGTATGTCACCTCTGTAGAAATACCTTAGTTATTACCGTATGCTCCAGCTATGTATCCATGTTAGGGAGGAAATAATATGTACTGGAAACTCACCCTTTTTATGGTCGTATTCTCCTATAAAACGCTTTGTTATAAAGCGAACACATAGGGCTGGTGACAGAAAACAGATATTATCACTGTTGAGTACCTTGCCTGAAATGTGACACATGTTGAAAGATGTTTGGTGTGAATATAAAGAATGAAAATTATAAATCCTGCAAATGAAATAAATTCAGGAGCAAAACTGCTTCAAATTTGCTTAATGACACAGATAGAAAAAGTTGAAACAAAAATGAGATACAAAATTAATATCAATAAACCATAGTTGATCTAAAATGAATAAATGTTTAGCAGGTTAATTAAATAATAAAAAAAAAAACAGTAAATAGTAAGACATTGTAAGCCAGGGCAATGCAGACCAAAATAACCAAGTTCTATTAAAGAAATACTTTTGAGAGGAGTGCTTTACTCAACATGGTGTAAAAGTGAGTGAAATAACAGAAATCCACCTAAATTAGCCTAAAATATCCATGAATTTCATATAGATCTTAATGTTTCATGGTTTTGTTTGCAATAAATCAAATTGAAGTAGTGTATAATTGTGAAATTGGAGAAAATATTCAATGGTTTAAATGTGTTTAAGCCTGAGATTAAATGGAACTCTTTGGGCAGCTTTCAAAACGATTATTAATTCAATAAAAACAAAACGAGACAAGAAAAAACCTTGGAGATTATCCTGAACACACTGCAGTCAAACATGGTGGTGAAAGCATCATGTTGTGTGTGTGTTTTTATGAGAATGAACAAAAAAGCTAATCAATAATGCAAATCAATAAGGCACATCATGTTGGCCTAATGCATAAAACCCTACGAAAATACGTTGAGGTTTGTGGCAATATGACAAAATGTAAAGGATCTTATTTTGCAAGGCAATGAAGGTAGAAGAAAGAAACAGGGACACACAAAAAACAGTTAAACAGATGTAGCATCTTGACATAAAATAGAAAATAGATGGAAGCATCCATGCATTTTCAATATAAACCAAAATATTAAAACCCGTTTAAAGAAATAGATTAAAAAATAACTTACTTTGCCACTTTTACTAATTTAGAGTTGAAACATACCCATGTTGTTACATCTTACAGGTACATTATAACCTGTCCATGCTCACTAACCTGATCTAATCTAGGCCAAGTTTCTAATCGTCTCAGTCTTTTAAAGAAATCACGACCAGAACCTTTCCCTAAACTTATCCTTTTAGAATATCTGTTATTCCAACCCCCTTTCTATTCCCCTTTAACGTCTTAAACTGGCTCCATTACCTGTTTTTCCAGTGTTCTGAACCCCCAGTATGAGGAGTTTAACAGGAACCATTTTCTTTCTATTTGTACACTGCCTTCCCATACAAGAAACTCCTAAAAGGGAAGCAAAATAAAGCTACACATCACCCTTGAGAATTACAAGCATCCAAAAATAATTGAATGTTTGCACACAAATGTTATGAAGCATCAACTTACAAGACGTTGAGGTAGAAAAACTATCAAATAATCCAGAGGAGTAAAAGAAAAACAGCCCGCTTCCCAGGCTGAGACAATAAACAGACCAGAGGCAAAGAGATGCGACTGTCTTCTCTCCTCCTGTGTGTCTGTGTGACTCTGCACTTGTGTTTGGATATAAGAGGTTTTTCTCTGTGAGCAGGATATGACAGGAGCCATCCGTCTAAAGGCACTGTGTCCAAGTTCAAACACTAATCTTATTTTGGCTCCATGACAGAAACATGTATACCTTTACAGTGAATTAGAACCATCCAGAACCTCTGTCTCATATAATTATGAACTTTTGAAGTTTCGGCTTTGCAGAAAACACACCAAACAGCCTGTTATTATTCTTGTTCTTTCTCTGTTTCTCTTTTTGGTTGTTTTTTTACTAGTTTTGTCAAATGTGTCCTTTAAGTACAAAGTTTCATCCATAAAGAGATGCACATATCTGTAGGCATCTCTGGCTTAAATTATTTCTCTTGGGGCAAATCCTCTGGTAGCAAGGCCACAAAACAACTATCCTGGTTGCTGAGCTGCTACGCTGTAGGCTGGAGTACACAAAGGAAAAGATTTTCAAATTGCTGGACAAAGAACAGATGGTTTGATAATGAACGGATGGTTGGATAATAGACAGATGGTTTAATGATGGACAAATGCTTGGATAAGGAATAGATAGACAGTAAACAAATGATTGGATGAAGGATATAGCTGGATAATTAACAAATGGTTAGATGATGGAGAAATTGTTGGATAATGGATGGATGGTTGGTTGGATGAAGGACAAATAGTTGGGGGGAAAAACAAATGGTTGGATGAAGGACAAATAGTTGGATAAGGAATAGATGGACAGTAAACAAATGATTGGATGAAGGATATAGCTGGATAATAAACAAATGGTTAGATGATGGAGGAATAGTTGGATAATGGATGGATGAAGGATAAATAGTTGGATAATGAGTGGATGGTTAGATGGTGGAGAAAATGTTGGATAATGGAGGGATTTTTGGATGAAGAACAAATAGTTGGACGATAAACAAAAGGTTGGATGGAAAAATGGTTAGATCATAAACAAATGGTTGATGGACAAATAGTTGGACAATAAACAAATGGCTGGATGAAGGACAAATAGTTGGACAATAAACAAATGGTTATATGATGGAGAAATAGTTAAATAATGGCTGGATGATGAGTTTTTCCTCTCCACTGTCGCTACAAGCATTCCTAGTGTGAGGGACTGCCTTCTGAGTGAATTAAATCCACTGGTTTTCCTTAGATTGAAAACTTTGAATCTTTTGACTGAATGATCTGGTGGACTGTAAAGTGCCTTGAGATGACATTTGAGTCGACGCTATATAAATAAACTAAATTAAATTCAAGGATGGACAAATAGTTGGATAATAAACAAATGGTTATATGATGGAGAAATTGTTGAATGAATGGGTAGATGAAGGACAAATGGTTTAATTATGGATAGATGTTTGGATATTGGACCGGTGGCCTGAAAATGGATGGATTGAACATGGACATGGTGCATTTCAGATCCACCTAACCTGAAGGATCATACTTCTAAAGGATTTTTCTCTAAATTCTCCTTAGATGTGAGTGTGTGCATAAATGGTTGTCCTGTTTCTCTCTGTGTGCCCCTGCGATGGACTGGCGACCTGTCCAGGCTGTAATTGCCCCTCGCCTAACAGCTGGAGATATGCACCAGCAACTCTCGCGACCCCGCTTGGGATAAGCGTGACGGAAATGGACATTTAAACATTAGTTCCTATTGCTGGATGGGTTTAATTAAATCCAATAAAGCTACATTACTACACATAAACAACACTTAGGATTGGGTAATTTGGGAATTCTTAAGATTTTATTTATCCTTTTCAGCAATATTCAACAAAGCTGCTTCGCAGAGTGAAACAATTCAAAGTATACAAGAAGCAACAGGAACAGTTTAAATTATAGAGCAATGAGTTCATTCCGAGACTCGCGTTGTGTTTGAGGACAGCTGGAGGAGTTGTTACTGTCGGGCTCTTTAGCAAACAGACGGTTCGTCAACGGCAGCAGCTCCCTCTGTGAGAGCTTTGACACACTTAGCCATGGTTTGGGAAGCTCTGCTGATGGAGTCTGGAAAAAAAAGCAGGATCATTTGTTGGTTTCAGTAGATTTTTTTCTTTTATGGTCTTTGTGCACTAAATTACCGGTCATGTAGAAGTCCTTGGCGGTGATTTGAGGCGGGACAAGAGGAGCAGCAATGAGGCCTTGATTTACAGTCTGACAAAGAGAAAAGGACAAAAATCATTTGTTTATGAGATCAGTAGGAAGAGGGACATAAAGGACAACAACCATTTCCAACCTGTGCGAGTTCATTGGCCTGTTTGAAGTAGTTTGCCTCCTCTACATCATCGTAACGAACCAGGTTAGGAGAGACCTCTGCCAGCCTTGATCGGACCTCATCCAGTGAGTCGTAGGGCAGCGTTACACCTGCCAACTGCAATCACGTCAAACATGAATAAGAATATTGCTAGAAAAAAACTAAAGCTACAAATTTGGTCAAACTCTGACCTCAGATACAGCTCTGATGATCTTCCAATCATCTCTGGCCATCCCTGGTGGAGTGACAGCCAGCCTGGTGTGCTGGCTCCTGCCCTCAGTGTTGACGTAGGTACCGTTTTTCTCCGTGTATGCAGCACCGGGTAGGATGATGTCTGCCATAGGGGCTCCCATGTCCCCATGATGACCTAGCGAGGTAAAAACTTGTCTAAACAAATTTCCAGGGATGCCTAATTCATGCGCTTCAAGTGATTCTTTGTGCGTTTACCTTGGTAGATGACGAGGCAGTCCTTAGGCAGGTCGGCTCTGGTGATGCAGCCAGCATCAGCTCCGAGCAGCAACAGGACTTTGGGTGGATTCTTCCTGATTGCTTCAACGCCGGCCTTGTAGCCTAGATCTAAGGCAGCTACCTGACTAGCCACTCTGCACGCAAACATGCAAACATTTAGTCTCATGTGCCCTATTCCACAGAGACGTAGAGCTACGCAAAGCCGTACCTGTGCAGGACATTGAGAACCTTCCAACCGTCCTCCACCCCACTGCTGGTTCTGGCGTTCTGAGCGATGGTGGAGACGGCGCTCAGGATGGCCGCTCCGTCTTCTCTCTGCAGCGCGCTGCTTCCAACAACCACCACAGGACGCTTTGCAGCTGCAAGGACCTGCAGACAGCAAAGGAAAAATAAGACCAGGGACAGGACATGTCCAAAATGATCAAAGTAAGCTTGCGCGTCGCTCACCTGGTTGAAAGGATGCGTGCCATTGGCCAGCTCCTTCAGCACTGAACTCTCCTCTCCCAGGTGCTCATATGTGTACGTCAGATCAACCTGGTGACCCACCATGGCGACACGCAGCTCATTGTGAAGCCAGCTGGGTAAAAGAGAAAAGAAAATCAAAAGAAGTATTAATACTAATGAAGTTTTCAACAATTTCTGTCACGACTCCAACCTTCCATGTATTTAATAAAACACTAGATGATTGACCAACAAATTAGAGTCTTAGATCCATCTTTAAGGGTCGCACCCTTTTTATTTCAACCCCCTGTGAGAACTTGAACATGAAGACTTCTGTGCGAAGTTTCAATCTGCTTTCGACATCCAGAAACTGAAGATGTTGCCAATTATTTTCTAAGAAAAAACTTAGATTTATTTTATTTAAACAGACTTTTCATCCCCCTTCCTTTACACAATTAAACACTACTTTGTGTTGCTTTGCCCTGATGAAGATCAATCATATCAACAGCTGGAGTTTGTCAATGCTGACCTCTTGCGGATCCTGGCGTTGAACAGCGGAGCCTCATAACGGGGGTTTGTTCCTACGAGCAGAAGGAGATCACACTCTTCGATGCCGGCGATGCGGGTGTTTAGCAAGTAGTTGGAACGCAAGTCGGTCCTGAATCGGAGGAGAAAAAAATTCAACGTTGCTAGAAAAATAAGTACAAACAGAGACTGATGATGTCAACGTAGAGCGTCCCTCACCCTGCACCTGCCATGGGGAAAACCTCTTCAGTGCAGAGGTTCTCCGAATTGAGTCTGTTGAGGAGATCTTTGAGGGAAACCAAAGCTTCTGCGTCGGCCATCCCCCCTACGATGGCTGCGACATCGTTGCCCTGCACGCTCTGGAGCTGAAGAGACATTAACGTCAGATCAGAGCATGTAACAAAACAAAAAAGAACATAAAACTACTAAATACCAATGATATACTCACAGCTCCTGCAACACGGGTGAGAGCATCCTCCCAGCTGGTTGGTGTTAGCTGACCTGATTCATCCTTCACCATTGGTTGGGTCAGCCGCTGCCTCTTTAACCCATCGTAAGCAAACCTGTGAAGCACATTTTAGTCAGGAAGGTCTAAATAAACCAAATGAAACATCAAAAGTGAAGGAAATGTATTCCTTCATCACCTGGTCTTATCAGAGATCCATTCTTCATTAATATCTTCATGCAGTCTGGGCATTACCCTCATCACCTCCCCTCCTCTAGTGCTCACCACAATATTGCTGCCCACAGCGTCTAACACGTCGATTGACTCGGTTTTCCTGTAACCACAACAGAATATTAAGGTGATAGAAAACCTTTTAACATAGTTTTAAGGATAAAAGCCTGGCCTACCTGGTTTCCCACGGTCTGGCGGTGAACGCGTAGGGTTTGGAAGTGAGCGCCCCAACGGGACACACGTCTATGACGTTTCCTGACAGCTCTGACATAAACATCTTCTCTACATAAGTCCCGATCTGGAGGTCGTTTCCTCTTCCTGTCGTGCCCAGGTCTTCGACTCCTGCGATCTCGCTGGCAAAACTGGAAAACAATTTAGATTTAATGGGAATTTAATTCTCCACTGGCTAAAAAACACCAGACAGATGTACAGCTGACTGACCGGACGCAGCGTGTGCACTGGATACAGCGCGTCATGATGGTCTTGATAAGAGGTCCGATGTTTTTGTCTTCCACTGCTCTCTTTCCTTCTGTGAAGCGGCTGCGATCCGAACCAAACTGCATGGACTGGTCCTGAGAACAGAATTGTTTCCAGTTAGACCGTCCGATCAGCCACGGGTGGTTGGATCCAATCTCTTGCTTTAGATCCTTTGACCCAGGGTCGGTTTTACCTGAAGGTCACACTCTCCACCCTGATCACAAATGGGGCAGTCCAGTGGATGGTTTGCCAGCAGAAACTCCATCACTCCCTCTCTGATAACACAAGGTCACAGCATTTATTTACTGCGTCCTAAAAGAATCTCCGCTCTAAATCACAGCTGTATCTGGTACCTGGCTTTGCGTGTTTTTTCCGAGTTTGTAAGGATGTTCCAACCTTTCATGACAGGCATGGCACAGGCTGCCACTGGCTGTAGAGAGCACACAGGGACATATGTCAGAGGGTTTGTAATAAACCACCTTTGGGTAGGCTTAAAAAAAAAAAAAGAAAAATACCTTTGGGGCTTTCTCAATCTCCACAAGACACATCCGACAGTTTCCCGCAACTGAGAGACGCTCATGGTAACAGAACCTCGGGATCTGAACTCCTGCTTTCTCACAAGCCTGGGGAGAATCCAGACTTTCTATTAATTACAAATCACATTACTTTTAAAATGTCAGGTTGTCATTTAGAGAAGGGAGCTTTTTGCCACAACTGATGTGACTTATCCTGTAAAATCTAAATGAAATAAAAAAATATGATTGGAAAGGAAAATACACATTTGAAATAATCCCTAAATAAACGTTTTTTTTTTTTATTTTAACATGAGGTCTAGTACCGCTGGAAAGAGTTTATAATGCTTCACTCAGACCATAAACCAGAATTGGTTATAATCAGTTATTACCTAATCAAATACTGAAAAACCTGACATTCTTTTTTATATTAATTAAATGAAATACATCTTAGAACTATATATAGACAATTCAATGACAGCTCCTATGTCTGGTAGCGGCAGCTGCCTGGTCTTTCCTGTATCTTTAACATAGCAGCACATCAACTGTGCTGCGCTGTTTAACTCTCTGATTGTTCTGCCTTAAGTTCCTCCTTCTTGCTTGTTTTCTAGTCTGTATGTGTTCGCATGTGCTTCATATTATTGACATTATATGACCATTTAAATCATCCTCAGCTATTACGCAACACGACATACAGCTGTTTTTGTTTGCATCATATTCATCTGATGTATCTTACCTGCAGCACTGTGGTTCCAGGCTCCACCTCTAAAGGTTTCCCATCCACAAACACTTCCACCATGTTGCTGGCAGCCCGTACAGGAGTGCGCACTAGAGATGCACACAAAAAAGGAAGGCTTAGCTGAAAATGCTACAACCTGTCTATCAAATACATAGAGAAACAATCGGGACAGCAGAAATTAAATACTTTCCCTTTTTGTTAGGTGTTTTTTTTCTCCTTCCAATATACAACAATGCCATGTTACATAATAATAATGCTAAGTCACAGTGAAACTCAAGCAATAATTGTTTTTACCAGGTGCTGAAGGAGTCAGGCTGCTCTTTGCAGCTCCGGATAGAGCTCGACCGACGGCTGGCAGTCGCAACATGATGCTGTGAGACAAAATTTATTGATTATTACGCTATATAGCGAAAAGCATGCACTGTATGGAGAAATGCAAAATGAGGTAAAGTCCTAAAACAACTTTACAGAGGAAGCTGCTGTATCCAAATACGATCATTGAAAGTTACATGAGAGGAAGAAGTTTGTTAAGATCCACAACCAACTATAGCCTAAAACGATTGCAATACAAAGCTCATCCAAGAGTTTCCCAAACTATAAACAGGTCGTCTGTAGATGTTTGTCCTCTGTGCTTCATTAAATTATACAATTTATTTTCAAGAATCAATCAAGAATCTTTATTGACTTTATGGAAAGATTGCAAACTGGTTTTAAATTGAAGCATATTTTGAGAAACCAAGTTTTTGGTGTGAACATACTGCTTAAAATGCACACCTGTTCTTATATTAATCAATAAAAAAACAGTTTTTCCTTTCCTGAAAGAATATTAATGCTTCATCGATGAAAAGGGACAAACTGGGAGACTTTTTTGTAATAATATGAACCAAAAGATATGCTTTAGGTGTTTAAAATGTAGCTAAACAGCTGCACAATGTGTAGTAAGACATTAATGATGATGGTTAAAGTTAAAATCACCGTGTTTCAGCAGCTGGTAACCGAAAAAATGTGATTAATCTGGATGAGTAGCTACCTCCTGTCAACAATAACAACTGTTTTTGTCCTCAATGCGAAGTTTATGACCTTTCACAGACACCTTGAATGTAACATTGTGAAATAAATATGCAAATATATAATTTTAAATCGCTTATTATTAGGGTTTAAAGTGTTTACCTAAAGCAAATCAAAGAGGCAGCTTGAATCTGTCATGGAGCTAATAACGTTAGCTAACACCATTCAAGGACACGGGCAGTTAGGGCTGTTATGGAAGCAGAATAAACGCGCTAAAACAATGATTTTCTCGTTCATTTTCTAACTGGATGTTATGCATTTGTGAGACTGTATTCGTGTAAATCGTGCAGCTGGTTCTCACCTTTTGCTATTTGGCCTTCTCGACCAGAACAGCGGCGAAGTTAGTTACCTCACAGGAGAAGCGGCTATGGCGTAGAAAGCGCTACGCAGTCTACTTCCGCTACAAAAATAAAGGCTGCCTCTTCACAATAAAAGTCTTCTTCTTCTTCTTTTCTATTATGGCAGATCGCAAGCAATTTTAAGGTGCATACCGCCACCTACTGTACATGGGTGTGTAGCAACATTACCTTACACCAAATTAAATTTTTTTAATTTTGTATACTGTAGATAAATAAATAATGCTTTCCTTAATCTGTTAATACCCTTATATATTTCCTTAATTTCTCATTATTCCTTTAAGACTCCACTCTTGGCCTGTCCTTTCAACCATTTTTTCCTAATTTCTTCCTTTCATGTTCATAAGTTTTACAGTTCATCAGTACATGTTCTAATTTTTCTTTTTCTCCGCATCCTTCACATTTATCATTATTTTTTCTCCCTATTAAATATAAATTGTCATTTAAATAGGTATGACTTACTCTTAATCTGATTGTTATTACTTCTTCCCTTCTGTTTCTTTTAATAATTATTCTAGTTAATAGTGATTTTTGTACCTTATATAATCCTCTTCCTTTCTTATCTTCATTCTACCTCTTTTGTAATTTTTCCATTTCTTTACTCTTAAACTGCTACGCTGCTCTACGTCCTCTTCACAATAAATGTCTCTGCACCTTCAACGTTTCATAAGGCCCTGATTTCATCTGAACAAATTAGAGAAATATATCTAAACACTTCATGCATAATAGATTTTTTTTTTACCTATACATTCATCAGTAGCTATATTACATGTTTAATTTAATATTATTATCCATCAAACCTGCACAAGTTGTTGTACAATAGAAATTCTTAAATAATCTATGGCTATTTAGGCAGCTGTTGCAAGATAGAATATTCAAACATGATTAAGTTAGGAATCCAGATGTAAGCAAACTCTTATCATAGATGACTGGATGTTAAAATTAAATCAAACAAGGGTTCAACAAAGTACAATTTTAATGCTGAATACAGGGATCCAATGATTGCATTGCACCTTTTTTCTTTCTATATATTCCCCATGATGGGTTACATTAGTGTTAAAGATGGATGGTATAGTATAAATTATAGAAAAGATGAGAAAATTATTTTATTTTGGTTCATCCTATTTGATAAAACCGGTTTCAAATGAAGATTGTAAATTTCTTCCAAATAATTTATTTAACAATCCTTATGCTAATCCTATCCAAAGGTGTCCAGTATACTTGCTAGGTATAAATATTTAGTTACTAAGTATTACCTTTTTTGGTATTAATTCTGATTATTTTTATATTTACTCACTTCATTTAACAACAAATATCTGTGTTTTCTACTCCTCATTTAATTACTTTCTCAGTAGCTTGTTACATATTTATGGCAACATGACAACATCTGCCAGCAAAAATAGAGGGATGATAAAGAGAATGTATAGAGAATCTGTCTACTTCGAGCATTTTCTTTAAAAACAACCCACTGATAGTGACATGGAAGAACTAAGGAAAAACACAGCAGATAATTTATTTTATTCTTAGATTCAAGGATTTCCCATCCATTCCTCATTTATTATATTTTCAATGTACATATTGAGTTTCTATTTCAATTATATTTGCAATTTAAATCCTGTGATTATTTGATCTCTTAAAGCAATAATCTGCTTATGCAGCACTACTATTCATTTCAATCTATATTATTGTTACCTAAATTTTAATTCAGAACAAAACTAGAAAAAATTATTTTTGATTTTCTCTCTACCAAAACGATCAACAAAAGATAATAAAAAATGGTTGCGCATTTATGTTTTTAAATAATACAGTAGAATAAAGTTGTTTTAAGGCAATAACTTCATTTTACAATGTACTCTACCTTTTTACTTTTACTTTGGTAAAGAAGTTCAGTCGGTAATTTTGCTTTTAGCTGTCTTTTCTTATAAAATGAATCTGTACTTCAACTGAAATAAATATTGTGAGTATTTTTGACACGTCTGACCCCACGCAGATGGCCACGTAATAGTTTTTATTACATATCTCTATTTTCGCCCTTTAGCAACCAGGGTTTTTGGACTACTTTTCCCATTAAGCATCGCGGGAAGTTACCGGAAGTTTCTACGTGTGCACTTTCGCGACAATCCAGGAAGCGTTTTACTAACAGTTACAGAGACGAAAGGCAAAGCTGTTCTGTTTCGAGAGGGATTCAAACAATATCAGGTAATAATTTGTTTACAAAACATTTATTTTTATTCAGTTAACTGTTAGAGTTGGCCCTGTCTCGAACAAAACTAAGACAGAGCCTCTCCAACTTTTAGAGTTTTTAGCAACATGCTAACTAGCTAGTGTTTTTGAGAAAACAAGGTGAAATAAAAACAAAATGCGACATTTAATGGGTTGTTCTCGACGGTATTTGATGTGAACAATGAATATATGTGTTGCAAACACCATACATGTTTATTTTCAGTTTTTTTTTTAAAGTACAGTACATGTAGCAGTTTTAGCTTACATTACCTCCCTGTTTTCCTGTTTACATATTACTACAAGTACCAGGTATTTATATTTTTATGGCAAAAAGCAGCAAGACGATTCAAAGTAAAAAAAGCAATAAATACATTTCAGATTTATTTTAAAACGATAAACAATTTAAATGCATTTTAATCAAATGTTTAGCATGACATTCCATAATTAAAGTTAACCATGAAAGTTATATGTGACCTTAAATGGTAAACAGGTCTCTGATGGGATCTAGATGATTGCGACCTGATAAGCCGAACACAGCTATATTTAGGCCCAATATGATTTGATGCATTTCATATCAGGTATATCAGGAGTTTATCATTTTAGTCAGGATTCATGCAAAGACATTTTTAGTAAACTACAGCTACTTAAATCTTGCTATTTTCCCTTTAAGGAGTGATAAATGCCATAGTAATCTAGTTGTAAATTAATAACAACCTAGGTCAGTCGATTAGGTGCACACTCATTCATTTTCAGTTAAAACACAAAACAATACTATTAAGTGTCTCTGAAATAAATCCTGTGATCCCAATGTGCAAAATCCCCCCAAAATTTGTCTCTTTAGTAATCAGTGAGTCAAAGGAAATGCAACCAGTACTGTGCTGACTGAGTATGAGTAAAAAAGGGGCTAAACTACTAAAAATAAAAGCTAAGTGTCCATTTTTCACAGGAATATTCTCTTGCAAAACACTTTTAATAATTACTTTATCTAGAATTATAATTTAGGTCCAAGATCTTAAACCTGCATAGTTTTTCTTTCTGCATCTTATTGTATTTTTGGTCTCTTTCCTGTCTTTTGTCTTTTAGGGCCCAAAAAAATTACTTCTGTCTTCTCTAAATTATTTTTGGGTTTAACGTTCGAATGCTATGACACACTTATCCAAACCCTTTATGGTGAATCGCTCCAACCTTTAAAAATTAAAAGAGTCATTTTGCCCAGGGTCCTGTTAGTGAAAGTCATTTAAAGCTGCAAATAATATATAACCTTTTAATAAAACACAACTTGTTGTTTTTGTTAAATATCTAATATCTTAAAATGGTTTATTTATATTTTTTAGCTTTAAGGTAAGGAAAAACATTAAAATGTTTCATAAAGATTGAACAAGAATTTTCTTTGATAGGATATTTTATGTGAAAAAACATAATAAAAATCTGAGCCAATGGCAAGAAAAACAATGCTAAAAACATGTTTCTGGTTATTTTAGTGTCACTTTCTTTAGTGATAATTTATCAAATATTCTTAAAACACATAAGCTTCTAAGAATGGTATTTTTTAATTATACTGCATTAGTTGGTTCCTTATATCTATATAAGCCACTATAAATAGCCTTTTAAGGGTCCAAACTTGTGGCTCCAGAGCTGCAGGTTGAATACCCTTGCTTTAAAGAATTAAAGTCATGTGGTGACTACGGTTGTCAAGAGTTGATACTAACATTTTACACTTAAAACTGGCAAAATGTGCATAACAAAATTAGACAAAATGTTAAGGTTATTTGAGGCATTATTCTTTTAATGTGAAAATAATCGGAAATTAACAAAAAATATGAAAACAACGCTTGTGTTTATTATCAATACCACAGCAAATTACTGTTAGTATTTGCACCCAGCATTTGAGTATTGATAATTTTAAAAAACCTTAGTGGTGACACAAACATTATAAGTTGTGTATCATCAGCGTAGATGTATTGTATTGTTGTACTCCTTACTCTGAACTAGGGTGATCATTCAGATTAGGAATAAAATTTTGTCAAAAAAGTTTCTTGGATTGAAAAATAGAGTCCAGCAATGAAGCTCAGTAATAAATAAAAAATTACCAATCAGTATTTAAGTATTAAAAACAAGAAGGAGGTGTTTGTAGATAACTTTTAAACCACATGTCAACTGAAAACTTTACTCATATAATATGTTTTGATTTAAATTCAGGCACCATGCTGCCGACCACCCTGCCACACATTAACGGCGACCCGAGCGACAGGGACGCTGCACGTCACACAGCAGGCGCCAAGCGCTACAAATACCTGCGGCGACTGCTCCATTTCAGACATATGGATTTTGAGTTCGCCATCTGGCAGATGCTTTACCTGTTCACGTCGCCGCAGAGGGTCTACCGCAACTTCCACTACAGGAAACAGACCAAGGACCAGTGGGCCAGAGATGATCCTGCATTTCTGGTCCTTCTCAGCATCTGGCTGTGTGGTAAGCTAAAACTTGCTGTTTCCGATTTTTGAGTTAAAACTACAAAAAATGGGATAAGTTAGCTCTTTGTAGCATTTTAATGTGTTGCTTTCTTTTGCTTTTCAGTCTCAACGATAGGCTTTGGTCTTGTTCTGGACATGGGGGTAGTGGATACCCTGAAACTGCTGCTGTGGGTGGTCTTTGTTGACTGCATAGGTGTTGGTCTGCTCATATCAACCCTCATGTGGTGAGTTACACTGTTGATAAAGATACCAAAATGAACGAGTGACAGATTGACAATTTTTAAATTAATATATATTTTTCTTTGATTTTCTTATCCAGGGTTATCAGCAACAAATACCTGCTGAAACACCCAAGCAAAAACTTTGACGTCGAGTGGGGCTATGCATTCGATGTTCATCTAAATGCTTTCTACCCACTTCTGGTCATCCTGCATTTTCTGCAGCTTTTCTTTATCAACCGTAAGTATTTTGCACGTTTTAGGCCTGCAAACAAAACGCTTCATGCAGTAATGTGTGTGTTTTTTTTCCCCACAGATGTTGTGGTAATAAACTCAGATTGGTTCGTGGGTTACTTTGTTGGAAACACTTTGTGGCTCATTGCCATCAGTTATTACCTCTACATAACCTTCCTGGGTTACAACGGTGAGTCTTATCTGCCCTGTTTTTTTTTTTCCTGACTTGCAGGAAACAAATGTTTTTTTTGTTTTTCTGCATAAATGTTGTTGCATCATCTTATTTTAAAGGGTGTAAAGGAGAGAGTTAAATGTCAATAACAGGTTTAGATATCATGCATTTGTGTGTGCCACATTAACCCTTAATGCCCGAAATTATACCCAGCATTTATTTAAAAAATAATGTATAATTTTTGTTATTGCTGTAAATCAGGTGTTGGATTAAATAGAATAGTTATTCATTTTAACATTAAACTTATAACTAGTGTAAATTTATGTATGAAGCTAATTAGTGATGCGAGGCATCTAGGGAACAAAAACATTTCAAAGTATGTTAACTATTAATGCTCTTTTACTCATACAAACCTTTAGCATTACTTATTTATCATCATAGCATTTCAAATTAGAAATGGATCTATAACATGTATTTGAAAAATTAGTCTTTAATTATTCAAATGTTTCAAATTAAGCTAAATACAGTAGTGATGGATTCATGAGGCATCATGAAGCGTTTCAACATATTTGCAAACTGTATTGATTCTGTGTCACTGAATACTGACACCTGCTGGACATTTAAAATCACTACAGGCAGCCTCTTTGACAGACTAAACTGACACTGATTTGATGACCTATGATATTGTATTATTTCACATATATTGAATATCATGTAGTTTGAGTTGAAAATATGTTTTAGATGCATCCATAAACATACAACGGGAAAATTTAAGTGAAAGTAGGAAGCATAGGGAAGTGTTGGCCTAGTGGTTAGAGGAGCGTGCTTGCGCTCTGAGAAGGTTGCAAGTGCCTGGTTCGATCCCCATGGACTGATACTCTGGGACCCTGAGCAAGACCCTTAACCCCACACTGTTTCCTGAGCGTCGAACAATGGCAGCCCACCTTTTCCCAAAGGGATAGGTTAAATGCAGAGAGTTCATTTTGTTGCTCTGTACTTGTGACAGTGTAAATACAATAAAAAAGCTAAAAAGAAAAATAGTGAATAAGGATGTTTGTGAACTAGGATTTCTTTATTAATATAAAATAATAACTACGGTGAGAACAGCATACAGAGTATTGGAGTCTGAGTTTGGATTCAGATATGTTGAGTGATAACTGAGAGGAACAAGATGACACAACAAGAAAATTAAAACAAACATGAGATAAAAATTATCCCACTCGACTGAAACTTCTCTTTGCCTTGAGGCTGCTCCATATTTGTTGATTAATTTGATGATGAACAACAAAAGATCAACGATTTTTCTTTTTTTGGTAGAAGCTTTGCGTTGTCGGTCAGTTCGAAGCAGCTACTGACTTAGAGACTTAGACAGACTTTATTGTAATTTTGTACACACAGAGTGTATACAAAAATACATTTTGTTCAGTACAGCTCTCAGGACATTTTTTTTTAAGTGCAACCGTGATAAAGGTAAGCAACAGTAATACTGTAAACATATGAATTTACATTACTTACAGTTAATTGCAGTTTCCTGCAATGATACCAACACTGACAAACGTATAACATATATAAGATGAGGGGAGTGTTGGCCTAGTGGGTTAGAGCAGTGCGCTTGTGCTCTGCGAAGGTTGCAAGTATCTGGTTCGATCCCCACCTCCTCCACTCTGAGTTCCTGAGCAAGACCCTTAACCCCTGATTGCTCCCAGGGCACCTCACAGTGGCGGCCCACTGCTTCCCAGGGAGATTGATTAAATGCAGGGTTTAATTTCCTCAATTTAAGATCAATAAAGTTCAATCATTATCAAAGGGTTTTGATGTTGGAGCTTGACACATGCACTTGCCCCCATCACTACTGTATACTTTGCTGCGCCTTTCCAATTACCTTTTATTTTGTAATAACAAATAAGTATTAGAGATGCAATCAAAACATTAGTTTTCTTGACAACCGTTGCTTTAATTCACCCAACGTTCCAAGGAGTTTTTAACTCATTGTTTAATTTACCAATGTTTTATCATTGTGTGAAATTATAATATTAATCATTAATTCATCATGACCGTTTTCTTTAAGTTTTATTAGATTAATTTTTGGATTATAGAAATAAACACATTTAAAAGGTACTTTTCTAGTCTCATTTTTCAATTAGGGCTGGGCAATATGAAGAAATTCTATATCGTGCTGTTGCTATATCTCTATACACTATATATATTACTATATTGTTAAAAAAACAATTGAGTGCATAAAATTGCTCTGATATAATCATTCAAACTTTTGGTTCCAAATTTAAAACATTTCTGCCCAGCAACCGAACAGGAAACCAAGCAAAAACCCAATACTAAATAAAATGCAAGATAAAAAAGGACCTTTGTGCATAATAAAAAAAAAGGAATGGAAAAAAATGTACCTCAAATTACAAAAACAAAATTGGAAGTCCAAAAATTGGAGCGTTATCGGAGAATCCCCAAACTATTTGCATTGATCTTTACCTGCTGGGAATTTTAAATAAGCACAAATAGTTGTAAAATTCAGAACATTGCCAAGTTTAGAAAACTCATTTAAATATCGCAATAAATAGCGTCTGTGATTCCCCTCCATCTCTTCCTTTTTCTCTCATATGGGATCGCTTTTTCAAACGACGAGGCCAACGTCATCGGCTTCACAGCTGATTTGTTTAATGTTTTAATTGGTGTGCGGGGAGAAGCTGACATGTGGAGTTTACAACATTCTTCATTTTGCAGCAGATTACTTTTTAGGTGGTGGAATAAATTTGTACTGCTACCATTTGCAGCAATAGTTTTTGCGGGACGTCATACAAATTGGCGCCTTTTGCTCGACGTCCTCGGCATGAAATCCAAACCACTGCCATATATTGTTATTTGAAACATATGCTGTCACCATTATTCGTTTGCCGGTTGCTGTATTGTGCGATAAAATAATCCTGTTTGGAGGAGGGGTTTATGATGCATTAAAGGCATGTGGGAAAAATTAAACTCTCACTGAAATAGATGCAGATGGCTTAATGTCGTCATGCGATTTCTACTCAATGGTCGCGATAGTCGTTTTAAATATCATGCGTGGGAAAACTCAAGCTACATCGAGTATATTCTATATATCGCCCACCCCTAATTGCAATTATAAATATGACTAATTTTACTCATCTCTATTCCTTGTTGACTGGTGAAACTAAAAAGCTTCCAACTAAAAATCCCAAATAAGTTTGGGAACCTTTGGTCAGAAATGGTCTATTCTTCAGTTGTAAAAGACATCAATACATCAATAAATTATTTTACAACCTAATTCAGATGTAGGTTATCAGCTGAATTCCACAAAGTGTATCCTTGCTCTTACATGGATCATGTTTTGGTCACACTACCAAATGCTAAATTATATAAAAATCCCATTTTATGGTATCCTAAGTGCCAGAGGCTTGGATATTAACCAACAATTGTATAATGTATAAACCATCTTTGCTGTATTTAGACTGGAAATTTTCTAAAGCCAATTAGCATCACCCCTCCATAAAGGGTTAAACTGATCATTAGTTCAGTTTCAGGACAGTAAAGTTTAACAGTTGTCTTTCGGTAATTTCAGCTCTACCCTTCCTGACGAACACCGTGGTGCTCCTCTACCCCTTCGCTCTGCTCGGCCTCATCTACATCCTCTCTTTATCTCTGGGCTGGAACTTCACCTACGGCCTCTGCTGGTTTTATAAATACAGAGTCAAATAGGAGGCTTTTTAATTTGAAATCGGATGCTAGCTGGCTCCGGCGCAGACTTGAACACAAAAATAAAAAGACTTCCACTTTCATCTGTGTGATGAAGAATCTGTTTCAAGCCGAATGTGGTTGAGAAGGACATCTGGCTGACTTGGAGAACTTGGACTCTGGCCTGATTGATGCTGAGCTGGTTCCCTGAGGTCCTGTCAGCTCTTCTGTTGAGCTCCAGCCAATGGACAGTGATGTGGTTGGATTATCCGGGAGGAAAAAGGAAAAAAATTCAGATGCGCCTTTTGTCAATGCCCTCCTTGTTTTTGAGTTACTTCTAATTCACAGGTTGTGACCTAACAACCAAAACCGTCTATTGAAAGAAACGACTGTTGACTTTTAGTTGTTTAAAATCTTCTTGTTCTTTAAGTGGAGACAAATGGGATTCAGTTGTCTTTTGTTTATTTTTCTCCTTAAAGTGTACATTCCAAAGTACTTTCAATGAAGGGTTTTGTTAGTGTTGTAGTGAAGACCACACCAACCAAGACCAAGGAGTACCGAGATAAGGCCAAGACCTTCAGAGACCTCCAAAGGTCTTGGCCTTGTCTCTGTCTCTAAAGGTCTTGGCCTTGTCTCTGTCTCTGAAGGTCTTAGCCTTGTCTCTGTCTCAGCCTCTAAAGGTCTTGCCCTTGGTGGTCTCTAAAGGTCTTGGTCTTGTCTTGGCCTCTAAAGGTCTTGGTCTTGTCTCCGTCTCAACCTCTAAAGGTATTAACCTTGACTTGGTCTCGGGCTCTAAAGGTCTAGCCCTTATTTGTCTCTATAGGTCTTGACCTTGTCTCGGTCTCTAAAGGCCTCGGCCATGTCTTGACCCTGTCTTGTTCTCGGGCTCTAAAGTTCTAGCCTTGTTGGTCTCTAAAGGACTTGACCTTGTCTCTGTCTCTAGAGTTCTTGGCCTTGTTCTGGGCTCGGCCTCTCTAGGTCCTGGACTTGCCTCTGTTTTTATTTTTTCTTCTAAAGGTCCTGGTCTTGGTTTCAGCCTCTAAAGATCTTGGCCTTGTCTCGGCCTCTGATGGTCTTGACCTTGTCTTGGTCTCAGGCTCTAAAAGTCAACCCCTTTTTGGTCTTTAAAGATCTCCACCTTGTCTTGGTCTCTAAAGGCCTTGGCCTTGCTTTGTCTTGGCCTCTTTAGGTCTTGGCCTTGTCTCTGTTTTTTTTCCCTTTAACGGTCTTAGTTTCGGCCTCTAAAGGTCTTGGCCTTGTCTCAGCCTTGGCCTCTAAAGATGTAGACCTTTTTGATCTCTTAAGGTCATGACCTAGTCTCAATCTCTAAAGGTCTTGGCCTTGTCATGGTGTCGGCCTCTTTAGGTCTTGGTCTTGTCTCTGTACTCCTTGGTCTTGGTTTCTGTGGTCTTAACTTCAACACAGGTTGACACAGAATTAGGTATTAAAGTGTACTTTGAAAGAAAAACAAAGAAATAAAGCTATATCAAAGCTCTTTATGTGTTGATGCCCATTTTATTTCCATTCAGGTAATACTTATCACGATGAACATGCCAAATGGTAATATTTCTATTGTACTGCTCTAAACAACATTTTCTTCAGCTTCTCCAAGTCAACACTCTTAATGATGACAGCCTTGTGGTCCTTCTTCAGTTGCTCCATGTAGTCCATTACCATCATGCCTCGGGTGTTTCTCCCATCCAGTTCTACTGTCACTGCCACCTGTGGGAGAAAGCACTTTTAAACTGAACTCCGCCTTCAAGCTGACGCTATTGACAATAAAGAAAGCTCACCTCTTCACTCTCAGTTATGAATCCATCATCAACCGCAGCAGCAAGCGCAAAGACGTCACACGGATTGAAGCCTTTTCCAGCTACGACTTCCTTCTGGTACTCTGCTGAACGAGCTTTCTGCACACATCGTAAACCGGAGTCTTGGTGCATGTTTTACAAAACATTAAGAGGCTGGAAATTTTTCTAGGAGTAAAAATACATTAGATTATGAACTTACCTTCATTGAAAGAGTTGATATCTTCTTGATGAAGGCAGCCTTCTTTGTATTTGTAGACAGCCACTCGTCCCAGAAAGACTGAAAGGTAAAATGTAAGAAAAATTCATATTTGATTACATTGAAACTTTTCTACGTCAGAGTACAATACGCTAATTTTTAGCTTTCAAACATTTTACTTAATGCTGTTATTTAAATGTTATTTTTTTTATAATCTTTATTTTGACACAAATAGCTATTGTTAGGTCAGGTTGTGTGTTTTTGATTCATTTTTCTTTCTTTTAAGCTTTCTCTCTTTTAAGCTTTCATTGCACTAGATCCACTACTGCTGCAAATTGATATCTAGTTTTAAATGTTCCTCATTTCCTCTTTTTGAAATGCTTCCTTTCAGAATTTTAGTTCTTAATGTTTTCCAGTAGGTAGAGACATTTTGTAGGTACTGTAAATCTAAATGGGACAAAGAAACAAAATCTGTTGAAGTATATTTTAACTGATAAAAAAAATGTTTGTGCTCTCAGAGGCTCAGATAACGACCACTTACCAAGAATTAAATCCCAATGGCGCTGTTGTTAAACGGTAGCAGAATTTATTTCCTTCTTGGACACTTTTAAGACAATATAAGTAATTATATGAAATATTTTTTATTTATTGTTGCTGTTTGGTGGAAGCCATACTGGTTATACACATCTAGCATGGTTTGCTCTTTTAAAAGCTAAAATTTATGCACATTCTCTATAAAGTGGCTATAAAATAGGAAATATGGCAGGTAATAGGAACTACAGTACAACACATACAGGGGAGGAGAAAACATTTATTATGTCTAAAGAAGAAGAATTTACTCAGGAAATAAGTTAATGAATCTAGAAATAATCAAATTGAACCCCATAATTAATTGCATAGCTTATAGTATTTTTTTTTTCAAATATTAAACCAATGCAGACATTTTTAAAATCACCATTTAATGCTTTCGACAAAGCCCTTAAGATATATTTGCCAATCATCCCAAAATATCTGGACGTCTCTAAGGCCCCGAAGTTTTATGAATTGCTGTCTGTTTGCTAATATAAAAAAAAATAAACAGAAAATATCAGGGAATAAGTCTCAAAAACGGTAATACTCAGCTTGAAACATAATATAATTTCTATTAAATTAAAAATAGGAATCATTTTGTTTTTTTTTAATGAACTGGCTGCATGTTTTCTTAAGTCGCATCTGATTGGCCAATACCCTGCAGATTTCTGGCATCTGATATTAACATACAGAGACATGAGACCAGAAAAGCAACTAAAAACCACCAGATTTGGTTCTAGAACAAGTTAATGCGTTTGTTTAATGTTGATGGAGATTGTCCACAAGGTTAAGTTTTTCTTCCACACTTCTGATGTTTTTAAGCATCACTAAGGGATCAGATCTTTGTTTTTTGTTTTTTATTTGTTTTATTCCTCCCTCATCCCAAAGTGAAAATTCTTGCCAGTTAAACCCCCTTAAACTCCAAAAAGAGCAGTGAGCATCTGGTAAAAAACATTTGAGATATTTTATCAATATGTGTATTAACAATGATCAGTGAAGCCTGTACGTCTTGTTCTGTTTGCTATTTAGTCCTCACCCATGAGATACTGCTCCTGCAGCAGAACTCCCACGCAGCGATGTAGGTGGGACAGGTGTAGCGGTCCAACACGATGTAAGCCGCTTCAGGGTCTGCCACAAAGTTGAACTCGCCACACACGGTGGTGTTACCCCGAGCTACAAACACATACACAGCAGACAGGAAAACGTCAACAATATCACTTTAATCATTGGAATAAAAAACAAAAAACACTACAGCCTGAATAAAAAGTAAATCCACCCACAATCAGTGTTTCCTCCCATGATGTAGAGGGCCTTCAGTTTTTTTGGAAAGGAAGGGTCCAACTGAACAGCCACTGCAAGGTTAGTTAGCGGTGCAGTAGCCACAAGAGTCACCTGAAAGACAGTAATACCAGAGTAATACACTTCATTTATTATAAATATGCTTGTATGAGTAGATTTTATAAGCTGAGCGTTTGCTTTAAAAAGCAAAAAATAAACTTTCTTGCAATTATGAACAGTAAGTCATAAAGATGAGATCTAAGATAGATTTTGTTCTATGATTGGGTCAATAATGAGGAAGAAAGCATAATTTTCTGTTCTCCTATTTAAAGCAGCTTCGTGTCAGCGCTACTGCTAATTAACTCTGCCAACTGTAAATCTTGCTGCCTTCCCGCTAAACAGAAAACCCTTTCTCTGTGATTGATTTACATTTATTCTTTTAGCAGCGAATAATATCCGTTTTGAATAAAAATGCCTTTTTTTTTGGAAAATGACAGCTGTATGACTCAGAATGTTATAGAAATGTTTTTCTATTTCAGCTCCAATTGCATTACAGAGTGATTAAAATTTGAGATGTCTTCTGCTCCTTTTGTTGACCAAAAATGATTTTACTGTCATGAAAAATCATGAATTTTACTTAAAACTGACAATAATTGAATAGTCTTTGCTTCATATTTATCTCAAGGTTCATGCTCCTATCTCTGTTTTTCTTCCACCTAATTTTCCTGTTACATTTATAAAGCACTCTTCGAACAGCCAGCTTTTTTTTTTTTCTTTGCAATAACTGTATTTGCTTATTCCTCTGAGGGGTTTCAATGTTGTTGAATTATTGTACCTATGTTTTTGAATTATTGTACCTATGTTTGTGTGGCTTGTAACACGTCTCACTTTACATTTCTACATTAAAAATCTAGTTGTTTATGTCATAGATTTTTGAGGAGATGGAAAAGTTTAGACTCAAAAAAATGTTTTTATAACATAATTTTATCAAGTTGTCAGAGCTTTGTCTTATTCAGAATATTATTTTCCTTCCTTCATAGCGGGCATATAATTGTTTGTCTTTTAGAAACATTCTTTCCTACCTCTCCAGGGTTTTCCCTTGCAATTTTAAGCATCGCCTGTGCAGCTTTCTTCTTCTTCAGCAGATCCAGACCTGGAGCATCTGGATCTGGAACGTCCCCCAATCCATCTTTCCCGTGGTAATCAGACGCATGCTGTTTGCTGGCCAGCAGAGGCCTTGAGAAACCCTTATAGACTGGAATCTGTGAAACAGAGCGTCTGTAAGCAAAATATCCAGTATTGTGAATAAACCCACACAAGGGAACTGACTTACATCCAGCCGGTTGCAGACTTGCAGGACACGCAGGGTGTTCTTGAGGACATTGTCCAAAGAAGTGTTGCCGTGGCAGCAGGTGATCCCCAGAATCTCTACATCTGGAGCAGTGACGGCAATCATGAGGGCCTGAGCATCATCAACTCCGATGTCAACGTCGAGAATCAGCTTCTTCATCCTGCAGTAAAAAAAATGGGCTGTTTGGAAAACAAAAAAGAAAATATGCATAGAATTGATTAAATGACACGAAAATGACAGATTACTGACCAAGAGTTTTAAAAATGCAGCCATTAGCAGCTTTACCTTGTGAGTCAACCATACATTTTTTATGCACCTTTTGATTACTTACTACCTTTAAGTTACACAGTTTATGTCAGAACATCTGACTGTGAGGATCTATTTAGTGGATTTTTCCAGGTCAAAATAAGAACTTCAAACTTTTATTGAAAGTAACTGTTATTCAAGATCAGGAAAACAATATTATATATTATACCAATATTATATATATTTCTTTAATGAAAAATTTATAAAAATGTGTACCTTTGCACTTAAATATTGCAACTGTTCACTTACAAATTTAACTGAAAATGTTCACTGAAATTTTGATTTTATTGAACCTCATATTCAAATTGAGACCCTAAGTTAATCCTCCTTCTGAAAAGTTGAAAATGTCCATATTTAATGCATTTCTGCATGACTGACAGAAAGGGGAACTTTTTATCTGCATAGTTTGATGACTTCATGTTAAAAATTGTTCAGGAAAGCAAATTTAAATCAAATTTTTTTTTAGTCCAAGTTTCATATGAGGAATCTCCAGATTGGCGTGTAGAGTTGAAATGCGAATCAGTAATTTGATTTGAACAATATTTAAGTTAAAATTTGCATCAAACTGTTGAAATACAATTACTAAGTCTTCTGCACATTTGCTTAGTGAGTTCCATTTCTTTTTTTGTTGCCAAGTACCTCCTGTTGCTTCTTGTTTCCTCTCTACAGTGTCATCTTTTGGTCAATAAAATACAGCAATGATTGTCAATTACAGGTGTAAACAATTAAAGAAACACATGCTGGTGGAGGGAACTTAAAAGGTACAAAGAAGAAAGAGAACAACAGTGGACTAAATGAAAAGAGATCAGATGTGACCAATCTTCCTCTGTGTATCATCCATGCATATCTTATAACTCATCTCATAACTAAGGCTAAACCCTTGTTGGAAAACTCTCAGAAAAGTAGAGTTCTACTATAGATTGCAACTTTGTAAGGCAGTGGGAGTTTAGTGCATTGGAACAAGGGGAAAAAAGGCCAACCAGACAATATGAAGACCAAGATTCATGGAGATCATGGATACATCTTCAGCTGGAAAAGTTGCAGCCTACTCAGACTGGAGGCCACTTTGCAGGTAGGATGATTTGCAACAAAAACATTGTCAAGTTAATATTCTGGTCTTTAAGTAAAAAAAAAATACCATACAGTAATTATACCTCACAGGCCTGTCAAGGCAGGAGATAATATCACCTGTACCTGCAATTTATTTGTTCTTAGAAAGCCAATGAATGCTGGAAATGGATATTGGCCAACTCTTGTGCAAACATGACCCAGTTACACAGGTTAAATAGGTACATCTACAAAAAAGGGAAGGCGTAGCCAGGTTGTCTGCACCAAGAGAAGAAACTACAGAGGATCTATTGTGAGATGCTTTTGGCAAGATCCTCAAAACATTTAACTAAATTCATAAATATTGAAAGCTAATTTGAATGATAAAACAACATATTTAAATTTTGAAGAAAGCCTCCTCATTGTTGTTCTGGATTTTTTATTTTTATTTTTTTTTTTACTAATTCTATGCATGTAGATGCAGAGCAAGTTTATATTGGCATCCAACACCTATAAAAAGTCTTGCAATCAAAGGAAAAAGGAAAAAAAGAAAAAACATTAAAACTGCTAAAATTAAGAAGTTATTCTACTAAACATAGGGAAAAAAAAAAAAGTATATAAAAATAACCAACAGTAAAGGAAGAGAAATCTGGAAGTCACGCGTCGTAAAGCGTAAAGTGAGTCTGCTTGATGGGAACAATCTGTCCCTCCTTTGAGCGAGTGGCAAAAAACTCACTGAACTCATCTCCAACACCCCCTCATTCTATTCTAATAGGGCTCATTAAGTAACACTTAAAAATTGCATTGCATCAGTTTTGCACAATTTAAGCATACAAAATTATTTAATCCTTTTTTGAAAGCAAACTTTTTCAGTGTTTATCTCTTTTAAAGATGCAAGAATCTGTCTAAAAACAACAAGCACATGCATTTGGTACATTCTGTACTTTTCATAACAAATAAATTAAGATGTTACTGTCATAAATGTTTATGCCTATTAAAGTTTGTAAAAAAAAAAAGTATTCAAGAAGAATTTCACCTGCTGAGGTTGCGAAGAGATCAGATGAGGAGTGAGGAATGGGATATAAGCAGCAGCTGAGCGTATGTTTTATAAAGAACAACCCAACCCTGAGGACAGTGTAAGGTGAAACCCAGATGTTACAAACCCTTCCTTCATTTAGTGTTTCGTAACTATGGCAGGCCTTGCCTCTTTGTGGAATTCACCATATGTATTCGTCAAAATCTGCTGTGTTTTAAGAGAAGAGGATGTGGCCTGTTTTCTGTTGTGTTGGTAAAAACATGCAGCTGAACAGTTTTTCTTTAGCTGCAACAATATGCAATTTACTGACAAGGGTTCAATGGAACATGTTTACTGGGTTATGCAGCATTTCTTTTCTGAAAACTGCTGCGCAATAAGAAATGTGCTGTATTCTAACTCACTTGCAGGAACGCAGGCTTTGATTAAGTTGGGATCCGCAATGCTGTGATGTAGAAATAGTTTGTCCCACCTTCCAAAATCGCCCGTTTTAATTACACTTAAACTCTTTATTTTTATATCAGAAAAAGATGATTTGATAAAAATCTAATTTCTGTTTTCAAATTACTTCATTTATTATGCCTTTGTATTTGTTTAAGCCTCATTGGAAGATTTTTCCACCATGGACAGCTCCTTTTATGGTCCTGCGAAAATATTTTAAATACATCTGGGCTTTGAATAGGCCACTTGCTTACTAGTGCATCTGTGCTTAATACTAATAACTGAATATTCCCCTTAATATTCTGGTTGAGAGTAGAGTTGATGGCTCAGTCATTCACACAGTTCGACTTTAGATCATTTAGTTTCGCTTCATGTTTTGAGACGGGTTATTTCAACAATTTCCTTAGTTAAATTAAGTCAAAACCTGAATATGATTCCTTTTATTTCCTCATGTTTTTTTTTATATACATTTGATCTGAAATTAATCAAGTATATTTAACCGTTAAATCTCCATATATTTGACAGTATTTCTATTTTCTTCATTAGTGCTAATATGTCATTTCCAGTATTTTAACATACTCTATGATTAAAGTATTTCTCGCTGACTTTTATTTTGGGTTTTATTTAGTTCTTTGTGTTTTTAGTTTCTAAAAGCAAATATTTCTCAAATTAATTATTAGACTTTCTTTGAACATAGCAAAAATATAGTCATAAGTTTTCTAAAGGTTTTTATCATGGGGGATTGTTGCCATTATTTCTGAGGCTTTTATTCTATTCATATTGATATCAATGTTAAAGCTTATTTTTACCGAGCAGCCTGCAGGTCCCCATAGATGTAGCGACAGCTTCTATGTTTTTTTTTTTTTTTTTTTTTTTTTTTTTACTGCAGACCCTGTCAGAGTTTGAGGTTTGAACCGTGCCTTAAAGCTTTTGTCATATTTTTAGGGTGAAAAACACCCAAATCAATCTACGTTCATGTTTAGGGGACAGAATGTACAAAAGGTTGTTTTTCTTTTTTTGGAGTTCAACATGTGTTAATGAGCAGTCTATGCGTAAAAAAATGTGAGCTTTCTGCTTTGAAAAACCTGTTTGAACCTGTACCTAAAAGGTGCAACCTGTAAAGGCAGAAATCAGAGAAGTCTAGCCTCTCTAAATGTTTTCCTTCTTTTGCCAGTAAATGTTGATCAAAATAAATACCAATGCCTCTAAGTACACCATGTCCACAGATGAGTCAAATATACATAGAGGACAAGATAGAACCTGCTGGTTCAGTTCTGTTCACTGTCAGAATTTTATGTTTAATTGCTTCACAAATTAAGCCTCCAAGGCCTTAAAAATTGGCAGACAATCACTTTCCTGTCTAATAAATTTAATTTCTACTTTTTGCAAAGGTTAAATCTTAAAATTTTTGTTTTATAGTTGTAGCCTTGTAGATATCAATAAGTAATATAAACAAATCAGGACTAAATTAGAACCATGATAATGATATTTTAAGATATTTAAAGCTTTATACAGACTTATACAGCTTTATACACACTTGCGTTAATATGATCCTTAATTTGTATCTCATTCAGTTTTTAGTGATTCTTGAGCAATCTTGAAGTCATGGCCAATGTTTTGAGCTTTTCCAAATTTAGCTTCTGAACTCTAGGTATTAAAAAAAGCTTAAGTTTAAACTACAGTTGGTTGAGAATTAAGTTTCAAAACTGCTTGTGAATTTACTTGGAGACATTCCTATGCGATTTAACTTAAAGCCATTCTTATCTTCCAATCTTCGTCTTTTGTAGTGATTGAAATTCTAGCATTCTGGTTTGTCAGCAACCACCACCAGAAAATGTTATTTTTTTATACTCCATTTACGTCCAAGTTTCAGATGTGAGTTTCAGTTTCTCCCTTCTTCATATTTTTCAATGTTAATAAATGTCTACTGCTAGTATCATAACAATTGCAATGACAAAAACTTTGTTCAATGTGATATTTGGGGCATATAAGCAATGTTGAATTGTTTTATCTTAAAAATGGTGAAAAGTAACTGACTAAATGTATGAATAATAAAGAATATGTAAGATTTACAACAGTTGGATAAACCACCTTGAACGTTTGTGTTTTCATGACCTTAATTTGTTTCCAGACCTAATTTTGGTGGGACTTCATTGTAATGTAAATAAAGTGCCAACTTCTACTCGCCTGTATGGCTTTGCACCCAAGCTGCAACTCTCTTTTCATTTCCTGGTGGCGACAAAGCCACTTTAAGCCACCAAAATGGAGTGCAGCTGTGATTTGAAATTGAATTTGATTGCACATATAGCCCGTCCACTGTAGATGGCACTTTAGCAGATATTTTGGCTCCCAACAGGGCACTGTAGCTTAGATTTTTATAAAGGTTATTTTGTTTCAAAAATATTTGTGCATTGTAAGAGTGAATTTGAAGTTGTAGAGAGAGTTACATTTCAAGTTTTGTATTTGTAGAATTAAAAAAAAGGAAAGAAAAAAAAATCACAGGTACAAATTATTTTTACACCTGTTCAAATTTTAAGTACAAGTACACAAACTCTGTTCTACAAGTTGCACATCAAAAACCTCTTACATTCTCAGTTTTGCTTCAGATAGTTCAGAACTATTGTTGCAAAATGATTTGTGCATTGTAACTTTGGTGTTTTGTAACTGTAGTTTTTTTTTATCTGTCACAATTACAAAAAAGTTACACCTCTTCAAATTCTTGAGTACAAGTACATAAATTGTGTTATGTGAGTTGCACATCAAAAATGTCCTCCATTCAGTTTTGCTACAGTTGATCTAAAACAAATGGTGCAAAACAAATTCAAACAAACAAAAAAAATATATATATTATATATCCTTCACACAAATACAAATCAGTGAATACATTTGCACAAATCTGCTGCATTTTACTTGTATAAAATGTAGAGACATCCTTTTTATCGTTTTTCTGGAATAAAAATCCACATCTTTGGGAAATGTTCCCTTTTCAATGAAAAACTGCAGGTCACAAAAGGTTGCAAATGAATCCATTGTGTGATCAGTGCTGTTGCACTGAAAATCAAAAATGTTAACTAATTTAAATGTATACAGTGTGTGACATATTTGCATCTTCAGAGCAGTCAAAGTAATGATTGAAAGGCGATTGTAAAATTCGTGTTTTTTTTTCCTTTTAGAATATGC